GGGCAGCTGGATCAGAGCTGAAGACGGATGATTTGCCGCCCGGACCCGCCCCGCCCGGTCAAGCCGCCCGCACCCCGCTCAATAATTCAAACGCAATATTTTCGGGGTCTTAACTTGATAGACTCTGTACGCAGGAAGGGTAGCGCTCGCAAGCCCCCGGGCCGCGCGCGTGCTCTGGGTTATTTGGACGCGTGTTCGCCGTTACAGCGCGAGAGGTACACAGTCGAGGCGGTGCTGGTGATTGTCACTCCACTTTCGTTCGACTTTCGAATGGCAGCGCGGTTGTATTAAATCGCCACGGCTAGTTTTTTTATTGGTGCCTATTGAGTCGATTGCTCACTAGTCGCGGGGCGGGGCTGGGCGGGCCACGTAATATGGCGGACGGAGGGAGTGCGGAAGAAGAGGGGGGCGGGGGGCAATGCTCACGCAGGACGGCCGCCGATGGGAATAAAGATGCGCGTGAGGCGTGCAGTTTCCGCCTGCTGCCGCTTGCTAAACACGAGCAGAACCTGCGGAACCAACCGCCTCCACAACACAAAAGGCTGGCCCCGGCCCGACGCGCCGGCGCCGGCGGCAGCGCCAAATGCTATACCACCACTACGGCAGACACAACCACTGCAACCACCACCACCATGTGGGCACTTCCGTTAACTAGTCAAAACAACCTAGTATTCTAGTCAAGAAACTCGAGTAATCTACACTTTGGAATAAAAGGCACGCTGTTCGGTTGCTAGATCTGAACTCCACGTAGTTGAGCCGCTAGATCCGAGATCCACGCAGTTCAGCCGCTCCATCCCATCCGAGATCCACGCAGTTCTTCCTTCGCTACAGGGATAGGAACTGCGTGAGTCTTGGATCTAGCGAGTTAACTACGTGGATCTCGGATCGAGCGGTTGCACTGCGTGGAGTTTGGATCTAGCAGCCGAACTGCGTGCCTTTTATCCCAAGGTGTCGTAATATTGATCAACGTCCCATGAATGCAATGATTCAGTCTTTCCGAGAGTCTTTCGGTGCAACTTTTCGTATTGCAGGTTGCACTGTGGGAGTCGCGGGCCCTCGGGCCTTACGAGAAGCTCCGGCTGCTCCCCGGCTGCACGGATGTGGGATGTGGCCGACGGAGGCAGCTGCGGTCCACTCCACTCGGGCCGAGGCCGGTAGGCAGACCGCGGCGAGCATGTATCCCGGCGGCGCACTCCAGTGAGCGGGACAATATGGAGCCGCGCTGCTGCTGCTGCTGTTACGTAAGGCGGGAAGCGGAGTCCCCCTCCGAGTGGGTTACAAGGGGCAGCGGGCAGGGCCTCATATATATTTTCGCACTGGCACACTTTGCGCTGCCGCGCCACGCCGCGCCGCGCCGCTCACCACCGCCCTCCTGATGGGGTTGCAACAAGACGAGGACCGGAGGGCTTCCTCGTGGCAGCAGGGCCGGGGCCGAGCCGGCGGCGTATGGACTTTCACCGAGCGGCCGGGGAGGTGGTGCTGGAGTGGGCCATGCACGAGGCCGATCATTGTTACCGCCGTTG